CACACACAAGTTTCTTTGCTGCAATGCAAATCAAGGCACCAAAGCTTGGACCTGGCGGCACAAGGGTGACTTGCAACGACCTAGTGAAAGGCATTCTCTTGCAATTCACTTCGCGTGAAATTTAATTGTGTCCACTCTACAGCCTGAGGCGCTCGAAGCAGCCAAACAAGGCGTGGGCCGGTGAGGTGCTCATTCGTGCTTTGACTGCGGAACATCCCCTCAAGTCAAGGGCAGCACCCCACTTCTGAGGGCCGAGTGCCTTCGTCAAGATGTCTCCCTTCTGCTCAGTTGTCACAATGTAATCCAGTTTGTAATTGGGATTCTCAAACGCTTCTGACAATGAGGCGATGTTGATTTTATGAGTCTTTTGCAAGTGCCGCAATTTGGAAGAATATCCTTTTGAGGACTGCTTGGTTGTCCTCCGAACACTTCACAAGAATCTCACGGCCAAAGAGAAGTTTACAGGCAATCTCCAGGGGCATCACATCATTGTACACGGCGGTGGCTAAAGCCACTGTTTCGGCTTCAGTCTTTGATCGGCTAGTGACAGTCTGCTTTCGGCTCACCCACACTAGAGGAAGGAAAGAGTTTTCGGCTTCAAGAACAATGAAGTAGCCCGAACAACTCCTCATGGTGCTCACGCAGTCACCAAAACTCGCGTGAAGGAATGCAAGGCATAAGTGGCGGTGCGACTCAAATAACCTATCAAGCGGGCGAGGCACCTGTCATCGGCCTTACTCCACTTAGTTACATGAGATCCCAACAAGTTAATGCTCACTTGCAAATCTGGCCGGCACAACCGAGCAAGCCACAACAACTTCATGACAATCTTTGCAGCACTGTTCCCCCCTGGCAGTGAGATCCTCTGGGCTGGTGCTGGCAGCGCGCACTCGCATTTCTGTGAGCTCCTTGTATCTCTCTACACATTGCTGAGCGAAATCTGCGGCTTGAAACGCGTAAGCTTCTTTACCTTTCCAAGTCACTTTCTGATGAGATCGTCCTAAGACGATAGTCAAAGGCTTGGATTGTTCGAGTTTTACCCGTTTCCCAAATTCCAGCCAGAAACCGCTATGTCGAGAGTCTTCACCACTGAGCGTAAAGTCGTCCGTATCGGCTCCCCACTCAACGGTGACAACATTGGCGGCCTGAGACACTCCCGCCATCGCGGATGCAATCATGGCCACAGCAAATGCGGGCATCGCTTTGGGCTTTGGCTTTGCTGCTGCAGCCTTAGCACTAGGCTTGGCGCCAGTCTTGACATGAGCGTGTTCGCATTTCTCCCCATGATGACATCCACTGTCCATCTGAAAGAAAATGCAAGGCTTTTGAGCCTTGTGCTCTTTAGTGCGTGCCTTTCCCTTTCCCTTCCTCTTTGACGGGCTGTCAGCCCCGCCTTTCCCACCTGGAGGCGCATAAGCAGCCAAGCCAGAGGGCAAGGACAGAGGCGATCCTGCGCCTTTTGGAGTGGGCGGTGACGGCGATGGGGTTGGAGCTGGGAGCCCAGAGGCCTTTACACCAGGGGAAATCTTACGAAAGTGATCTTGAACGTCCTTGGCATTAAGATCTTCACGTTCATAACCAAGGGCATCCTGGAGTTTACTCCACAGGAAGTCAAACCACGCATCGTGCTACCCTTTGTGGACTCTTTGATATTCTCAATGTGGCGTTCGAGCTTTCTGATATTCCTGACCATACTGAACAACCATTCCCCAAGAAGGCGATTTGACGGGAGCTCATCACTGGGAACAGCTGACATGGTCTGCGTGACTTTGCTGGCAAAGTCTTGCATCTGAGCAACCCCAAGACCGGCGGGCTCCAAGGAAAGCAAGGCAGATGCAGTGAGCATTGAACCTCGTGCTCTATCCAAGTCAAAATGCTTAGCAATCGTAGCAAGGATGAATCTACCACGGGGTGCCTTTCCATCACGCGTGCATCTCTCAATGTAGCCATTCACCTTGACAGCAATGCTAGGCACAACTCTCAAGGATTTTGTGGAAGTCAATTCGGAAGCAAGCCACCTATCAAAGCGAGGGAAACCGTCACTTGTTTCATCGAGGTGGTTTAGATCTCCAGAGAAGGACATGTTGATCCACTTTGTGATGGATGGCATCGGTACCACTGCACAGGACAGAATAAGTGCATTCTTCCATGATCGGAAGGCCGCAGCGTTATCTGGGACCGGCTCAGTCTTCAAATGCTGGAGACCCTTTGAATCAATGACATCACGCTCCACAGCTGAAGGATTTAATCTTCCAAGCGCATGCGTGTGGGGATCCACTGATCTCTTTTGGATATTACTATTGGGTTGGAACCGCGCTATTTTGGCCACTGGTTTCAATTGCATTGACACAGTCTGACAGCTTTGAAATGGCTTCCAGAATTTGGCAAACATGAGAACCGTCTGCAAAAGGTTTGAGGGATCAAGTGTTGCAGCTTTCCTCCATGGTTGAAGGGCTGCAACGTGACAATCAACAGCTAGGGCAACGGCTGGAACAAATGCAGAGAGAAGCATCGAGACACATCCAAGCCCGTGAGGCCGAGATCTCCCGGCTCCGATTGGCTGCGTCACGCGCCGCGGATGCTCAGGGGGGCAACTCGGCTGAAGTGTACTCGATCGCAACTCCTCCGGTAGATGCCCAAACGCCTGTTGAAACCGTTCAGGATGCCCAAACCTCCTATGGTGGAAAGGGCCTCAACATAGATCTGATGAGCCCTTAGTTCTGCATCATCGGCTCTTTGCGATTCTTGGTTAGCACTCTCAGCAGCTTGGCGTGCATGATGAAGCATGTTAGCTACCGCTAGTGGGTCGACACCAACGTTCACTTGCGCATTCACAGTCTGGAAGAGATTCTTCTGAGATTCGTCCCTAGTCAAATGCAACTGTTGCACATGGGCTGAGGGTTGATTAACAGCGTCACGATCAGGAGTTGCAATAGAGGGATCAACGACATCCGTGGGACCAGAAACAACTTCAACAATCCCGGCCGATTTCCGTACGTGGCGAAGAGATTGAACGGCTCCTACTGGATGACCTACTCGCCCCTGGCATGGCTGGCACTGACCTTGAGCTACTTGACAACTCCATACTGGTCTCTGCACTCATTACGGACTACCTGAATTATCTTACGCAGATGAAAAAGACGATGATCGTGCACCTAGATGACAGAGGCGGCAGCACACCTTTTGCGATGCGAGGCAAACGTATGTATCACTGAAAGTAAGCAAGGCAATGCTGAGCTGCTTCTGCAAGGTTGGTCACGTGCCTGACACTGGGTGCCACCGGTTTCTTGGGCAGTCTGATCCCAATTGCAGCACCGCGCTTGAACTCAGAGAACTCTTGAAGGGCCTCAAACCCGTCGTCTATCAAAATTAGCAGTTCCGCCTTTGGAGCAACTGCACGATCTATTTCCAATTCCCGCCAGATCCAGATCTCTCCGGAGTGTAGATCAAGAAGTTGAATGGTGTCCTTCGCTCCAAATGTTCGGCAGCGGCGCGCGCTGGTCCGTAACTGTGGTTCCCTTGAATTGTACCAGTGCGGCGATCCTTTGGAATATACGAGAGCTGAGCCAAGAAACAATTCTCCGGTAGCCCTGCGGCAATGGTGTTCAGAGCACCAGGAGTCTGATCACAAAAGGGTCCGTCAGACCTGTTGTAATATCGCTCTCGCTCTGATACTCTGAAACAATCGCTCACTTGATGATAGTCCACAAACACAATTGCCCGTGCGTCCCTTGCAATTGTAGCTGCTCGAGACGGAGGAAGAGGGCCAGGACCCCTGCAGTAATGAATCAGGGCCTTACTCAAAATCCGTTCACGCTCAGCCTCCGAGATTGGTGGAGGACGTGAAACTGCTAAAGCCTGCCCAGTATTCCTCGTAGGTGCAGTTGTGTGTGGCCTGAGACCGCTGATGGCCTGAGATGCCTTGGGTCGTGCAATGGTCAAAACTCCCACCTCGGAAATGGACTGCAAATCTGAGGCAGGCGGAGAATCCCTTGAGCACCGTAATCAAATTTGAGATGTCCTGAAGGAAGAGCTCGCAGGTTCGCCCTCACTCGCTGCAGCTTCCTGTTCCAAAAGCTTTCTGCTCTTTGAAGGTCGCGAGATGCGAGATGGAGGTGCAGCCACGCGTTGACCGCTCCCCGGCGCTTCACCCTCAGGCACTGATGATACCCAAGACTCCGGTGTGCCAACAGGCTCTATAGCAGGAGGCCCTTCAGGCGGAGGCAAAGGCAACCGCCAGGCAAATGCATCGGCTGGTTGAGTCGAAAACTGTTCTGTGTCAGAATTGTCAGAAATCGGTAGTCCCCGCCTTGATGATGATGAGACAAGAAGTTCACCTCCTTTTCCCAAATCAACAGCAAACTCCTCCGAATCCGCCAATCCTCCTGCAGCTGGGGCTATCTCCTCGTCTTCGATCTCAATCACCTCAAAATCCTCTTGATCCTCACCCCAGGACGAGCTTGTGCCCAAAGGTCTGCTCGATCCGTCTGCGTGGACCACCTGAACTTCTTCCCTCGGAGTTCCTTGCGCCACCCTATGGGAGATAAAGGCTTCGCGACGCCTCCTCGCCCCTTTTCCCGACCTGATGCCTCGGGTGCGGGTGGGCCTCTCTTCTTCAGCCGTTGCAACTGCTGATAAGGTGCGCGATCAGGTAGTCGGAGCCTTACGGCTGATAACCAGTTGAAATGCCCAAAACACAAGTGATTCAAGTGAATCAAGCAAATGGCGCCGGCGAGTGCAATCAAGCTTTTCTCTCAGCTTGAGCCAAATGTATTGGCCACAGAATTCTCATGCACCACACCCGAAGAGGAAGTTAAAAGGAACACAACCCCTGAAAAGCGGGTTTGTTCAACTGCTTCTGCTAGAATTTACCTGCATGCCCAACTGCATGCCATTGCAAACGAAAGAAGTCACGCGAGTCAGGTTGCACAACAGTTCCCCACAAACACAAGCATAACATAGCATAACTTGCAAAGCCCTTCCGCCAAGCCCTCGCCTGCCTGCCCAGCAGCACCGGCCGGGCCCGCTCCGCCCGCTCCGCCCGCTCCGGCCGCTCCGGCCGCTCCGGGGGCCGCTCCGGCGCCGGCTGCGCTTCCGGCTGCGCCTCCCGGCGCCGAAGCCAGCGCCGCAGGAAGCGCAGCGGCCGGGGGGCCTGAGGCTACGTACTCTTCCATTTGCAAAAGATATGTCGTGCTGTTTCAGGTTTTTTTCAATATTTCCGATGGATTGAAAGGGATTCTACTGGACATATGCTTGTATTTTGCCACGCTCCCGATGGAAGCTAAGGGGGGTCGTGGATTGGCGTCTGCTCGTCCGCGGCCGCGTGTTGTTCAAACTACGCACGCAGTACCAGGATTCTTCCAGCCAGCAGGCTGGGGAGTGCAAATGAGAATTGTTCGGAGGCAGCTTTCGCGGTCATGCTAAGAAGCGGAACGCTGCCGGTCTCTTTGGCACCACAGAATTTGCAAGGCCAAATTCTCAAGTTTTGTGAAACGCGAATTTATCAATTCCAATTCACCATAGTCGGAACGCTCCGGACACCTGCCGGTACTTGCACGGCTTTGGAAAACGGCTGGGGAGGCTTGCTTTACAAGCTCAAACACTGTTTGAGCCAAACTCACACCACCCGCCAGGCTGGCCCGGTACAGTCAGGGGCAGCTTGGGTAAGGATTCAAACCCTTGAACTGCCAAGCCCGCTTTATGTGATTTGCCCGGTTCGCCCGTCCTCGTCGACGTCCTGGATGTACACCCAGCTCTCCATCACGCGGCGCATCTTCCTCAACCGCTTCACTGCATCGAAGAGGGCCTGGCAGCCCCAACCCGCAAGTGATCCCGTGGACCGAGGCCTTTGGAGGCCAAAGCCATGGCTCATTCGCACATCTCGCAAAGTGAAAGCCGCTCTCATCTGCTTGTGTCCTCACTTACAGAAATGCACGAGGGCCAACACATCCAAAGCAAGACCCCCCTGCCTGTCGGGCGGACAGAGGCACTTTGGGGCAGAGATTCAAGTTCAGCACCAGCTCCTGAAGTGTGTTTTCTTTATTTCGGTCGTACCCCTGTCACTGTTCCCTTTGGCTGGGGGCTTCCCCTTGGCAATTCTTCTTCAGGGGGCTGGTGACTTGGATCTGCAAACCAATCTGACTCTTTTAAAACAGAAGTCGTCTTGAAAATGATGAATGATAGCACCCTGCGGACAAAGGATCAAAGCATTGATCTGAAACAAAACAAGAGAATAAATCCTTCTCCCATCTCGAGTGAAGCTTTCTCGTCAAGCTCCTCCAGTGCTGGTAGATTGCTGCCAAGAGCCTGGCAAGCCAAGCCCGGCGAGATCAGCGAGTTACACAATGCGTCTCTGCGCGTGTGTGTGTTTGCATGTGCATGTACATATGCACTTTCCTAGCGTTCGTGTCCTTGTGCTTTGTTCCAACGTTTATGGCTTGAAAAAACAAAAGCAGGCTAACATGCCCTTGCTTTGCCCCCAAGACTTCCAGGACTGACGCAAACTGTTGAGCGCATCGTGGCAGTCGAAATAGGGAAGGCCGGCAGCCGAGGTTCTCAGGTGCATAACAAGCTGCACTTCACAGTTGCGCACTACCAGCCCAAGACACTCACGCACCTGAACAGCTGCTTTAGATGCTTGTACCAGGGCCCTGCCAATGCTTGATTATGGTTGGTTAGAAAGCCTCGGTAAACCTCACGTGCTGGAACAAGCAAACAAACAATCAAACAAACCGACCAACCAACCAGCCAGACGGCCAGCCAAGCACCACATGCTAAACACCACATGCCATGCACCACGTGCCATGCACCACATGTCATGCACCATGTAAAACCCACTCCCTGTCGCAGCCACCCCGCCCCCCCATCCGCCTGGGCCAGCCCATCCACTGCCTCCAGCAGCGGCAGCTTGGAGAACCAGAGCTCCAGCTGGCGGAGCTGCGGCAGCGCCTCACAGCTCATTGCGCTATCGTGCTGATGAACATATATAGAAACAAATATACATATGTATATTCATGTCATGAAATTATACATGGATATATATAGATATATACATATGTAAATATATATATATGTATATATGTATATATACATATATGTATATATGTATATATGTATATATGTATATATGTATATATGTATATATGTATATATGTATATATGTATATATGTATATATGTATATATGTATATATGTGCGGGTATACCAAAAAAGGCGTACATGTCTATTCGTGTTTGTGTGTGCTTACGCATCCATAACTCGCAAACCACAGCTTGCTTGCTTGCTTTCTTGCTTGCTTGCTTGCTTGCTTGCTTGCCTGCCTGCCTGCCTGCCTGCCTGCCTGCCTGCCTGCCTGCCTGATTGATTGATTGATTGATTGATTGATTGATTGATTGATTGATTGATTGATTGATTGATTGATTGATTGATTGGTAGACAGGTAGCTGGATACATTCGATGTGTGTACCTGCTTATTGCTTTTTTCTGTAATTCAATGTGTGCAAGCAATGCATGTTCATGGAAGACTCATATTTCCGTATCCCTTCAGCTTCCTGCTATTCCCCAAATTCCATGAGCGCAGCAAGTCCAGCCTCCAAGGCTGCCCCCAGGCCTTCAATGCTGCGCAGGTGCCTTATGGCAGGGCGAGCTTCCATTGAGAGAAACTTGAATGTTACTTTCCTCAGATCTGACTCCAAACACTCACCACCCAGCAGACCTTGCTGCAGCACTGCAGCACTGTCCCTTGGAGCTCGCCCCGATCTCCACATGAACTGAGGCCCGCGCTTGATTCCAGGGAGGCGCAGTTCCAAGTGCACCAGACATCTGCGAGAGCCCAGCCTCACGTTGAAACGTGGCGGGCTGGCAGAATTCGTCTGCGTGAAGCGGACGGAGGGAAGAATAGCAGGGAAGTAAGGAAGGAGGGGAATAGGGAAGAAAGTCAGGAAGAAAGCGAGCAGGGGAACAAATCCGCGTGGAAGAGAGCGTGGCACCTTTCCCGCTCGGGCAGCCCAGGCACAGGCCAAGAGCCGAGAGGGTCTCCAGGCCTGTGAAGCCCAAGTCCAGCCTCAGCACCTCGCATAGGCTCGGGGCTCGCTGAGCGCTTGTGGCTTGGTCGAAATTCATCCACGACCTCTGTGATTTGTCGGGGGCCCAAGGTGGTTCCCATCAAGAAGCTTTTGCTTGAGGGTGGTGCAAATCGTCTCCAACGTCACAAGAGCAACAAGTTGGAGAATTTGGAAGGTCCTGCTGAGCGGCACCAGATTATACAGTTGCTACCGCATGACAGCTGACCACCCTTTCTCACTCTCAGAAACAAGCTCCGTCTTCTCGCAAACGCACCAGGGCTTGAGAGCACAGCTGGGGTTTGGCTGGCTTGAGAGGGGAAGGGAGCATGCACCGATGTGGCACGGTAGGCCACATATCTCACAACGCAGCGACCTCACCTGGCTCACTGCCTGCCTCCAGGTTCTCCGGCAAGTGCTCCACCAGCACCGCCAGGTCCTGAACTTGCGCGGCTTCGCTTCTCAGGTTCGGACAGCCGGACCTGGCGCCCTTCACACATCTCTATCTCTGTGCCCGTGGCCAGGCCTGGTCGCAGAACCGGGTGTTCCCCGTGAAAGACAGCTGAACTTGCCGCCTGGGGCAAGGCTTCAAGGGCAGCTGGCAAACTATGTGAATACTTGCGCCGGTCGGAAGAGACAGGGAGAGAGGGAGAGAGAGGAGCCGAGAGAAAAAGAACAAGAGGAAGAGCGAAAGAGAAAGACAAAGACAGGGAAAACAAACAAAGAGAAAGACAAGTTTTAAAGCCAAGGAGGAACCAAAGATAAAGACGAAAAGACAAAAAGATGAACACACAAAGGGACAAAGTGACAAAGGGACAAGAGACAAAGAGGCAAAGAGGCAAAGAGGCAAAGAGGCAAAGAGTCAAAGAGGCAAAGAGACAAAAGGGCAAAAGGGCAAAAGGGCAAAAGGGCAAAAGGGCAAAAGGGCAAAAGGGCAAAAGGGCAGGGGACAAAGTGACAAAGGGACAAAGACACGAATTGGCGAGGGACGAAGAGACTAATAGGCGAGGAGACAAAGAGACTGAGTGGGGGAGAGGGAGAGAGAGAGAGAGCGAGAGAGGGAGAGCGAGAGAGAGAGAGAGAGAGAGACAGACAAGAGAGAGACATAGAGGGAGACGGAGCGAGACAGAGACAAAAAGGAAGAGAGAGAGAGGGAGAGATGTAAACATGCAGAAAGGAAGGAAGGGAAAAAGAGAAAGAAAGAAAGAAAGAAAGAAAGAAAGAAAGAAAGAAAGAAAGAAAAAGAAGGAAAGAAAGACCGGGCCGCTCGTAAAACGAACAGGCACTTGCACTTTCAGTGGCCAGGAGCCCAGTAAGCATTCAGTACGACTGTTGCATGTGCGCATTCATTCAACTGAAGAAACTTGTGTCCCCTGCCTAGACGTGTCCGCAAAGAGTGCCTTTGCCAGCGGCAGGGCGTCCCAGCCATGCAAGATACAATTGCACCAGCTGGCAAGCGCAAACTGCGCGCTCAGCGCATTGTTCACGTGCTGGTACTTGTGGTGCTCCTGTCAATCAAAACTGAACCTTAGGCCAATGCAGTGGCTTGTTTTGCATTTTCTCTTGTGAAGTGGAAGCATGCAAGTTGTGGTGTCATGCGCCTCAGGTGGCTCGGCCGTCAGCTCTTCCAATGTTGCACCAGGAAAGGCGATGCTGTTCAAAATCCGCGTCCTGCAAGGCTGTCAAGGCCGTGCATTCATTCGCAGGGCGAGCGTGCTGCAGTAGTGCTACTTCCAGGAAATCCTACTGTCGACGCACATGATTGCAGTTGGCTGGATGATGCCTGTCGTTCTGCAAAGTCGTGGGAAGCCGCCATACAGCCAGAACTAGTAGTTAGGCCAAGCAACCAAGGCCAAGATGCCATTCACGTGTCTGTCTGACTTCATTAGCATGACTGATAGCGCCCCAGCCGACAAGTCGCATGCATGTTGGCGGAGCTAGGCCAACATTAGCAAGAGGGTTCTTTGCATCCAACATTGCAATGCCGGCAGCTGCGAAGCCAATCCAGCTGATGCTGCAGGCTTGTGCACATCATGCAATACAAACTCTGTTGTGAAAAGCCGTGCCCATACAAAAAGACATGCCACGCCTGTCAATGTCGTGGCTGGCCGTCGCAGAGAGGATGTTGATTTGGAGTCCTGCAAGCTGCGGGCTCACACGACTTCCCTCGGAGAACCGTACCATTCGATGGTTGAACAGAATCTCGTGGTCTGAGTGCTTTCATACGTGAGCCCAGCGATTGTGCTGAGGATGCACTTGGATTGAAGCAAAGCCAGATACCTGCTGTACGTGCTCACATGGCGAACTGCCAGCTACGTTGTCGAGGTCTTTGGCAGCATGTATGTCCGCTGGCGTTCCAGCAGGCATATGGAAACATGCAGCATCTGGCAAAAAGGTGCCTGCAATTGCCAACCGTCAACAAGCACTGAATGTATCTTCTGCTAGGTTCCCAGATTCCCAACCCAAAGGCTCCTTCCAGGTTCCCTCATACTACCCAGCTGGTCCGATTCTGGCTGCTCACTTCCAGAGAAGCAGCCCTCCCCGACCCCTGCCTTGCTGCAAGATGTGCACTGGAAAGGTCATCTCCCGGCAAGTCTTGTGATGGAGGCCCAGCAGAGGCACCATTGTCCTCAACGACTTGACGAAAACCCTCGACCCACCAGCGAGCTCCGGCTCACTCATTGGGGTTGACACGAGGGGAATCTAATGAGGAGAAAAGACTGATGGCCGAAGCAGTCAACCAGCCCCGCGTTCTTAGGTGGTGCCAGCCTAAACGCGATTTGAAATTGGAAACCATGCAAGCACACGGCAGAGCTCAAAGCAGAGCTTCTGGTTCTAGGAGCGGAGCAACCAGCGGAGAGAAGAACGGAACAGAAGACTGGACAAAGAGCAGAGAGAAGAGCGCAGTGGGAAGAAGAGCAGAGAGAAGAGTGGAGCAAAGCGTTGGGAAGAAGAGCGAGAAGGAGAGGAACGCGAAGTGAAGGGTGGGCAGCAGGGCAGGAGAGAAAAGCGGAGGGAAGGAAAGGTGGTCGAGCCTGCAAAGGGGGGGAGGGGGGCAAAGGAAGAGCTATCTTCCAAAGCCAGAGAAGATTGAGAGAGAGAGAGAGAAAGCGAGAAACAGAGAGAGAGAGAGAGAAAAAAAAAAAGAAAGAAAGAAAGAAAGAAAGAAAGAAAGTGACTGGATTCTATTGTGTTCCACTTTTTTATTGCTCCGAGGTGGGCTTGAACCCAGGATTGCTTCATTTCCTTGCAAAGGGAACCCCGGGAAGTGAACGACCCAAAGCCGATGGTCAAAGGGTGCTTCCCTCCCAACTCCCGGCCTCTCCGCTCCAGCCAGGCCATCTGTGATGACATGCGCAACACCTCAGCCGGGGCGCCTGGTGACAATTCAAAGTCTGGACTTTGAGGAACCTTGTCAAAAAATAAAGGGCCAAGCCTCCAAGGTAATGCTTCATGGCTTGCCAGACATCGTTGAATCCCTCACAGGGTCGAAGGAAGTCATCAAGTGCAGCATCCCCACGGCAATCCCACACCCACTCCCAAAGCTTGGACATGCGACGGTGGCCACCAACAATGGGCCGATGGCTGAAGCAATGCTCGTCCAGGGCGCCGTCAGCATCGGTCGCACACACATCCAGTAGTAACCGGTGGCTCCGGTCATTTCCATCCCGCTTCTCCACTGCGATGGCCTCTTCAAAGCCTTACAGACTTCAACTGTCACGGTGCCGACGGCCCGACCTTCTCTCTCGCTCTCCCTTTCGCCTGAACCTATGCCTGAGTCAACTGGAGGCTCGTTGAAGTCGCTCGGTCGCTCGGTCGCTCGCTCGCTCGCTCGCTTGCTTGCTTGCTTGCTTGTGTGCGGGTGTGTGTGTGTGTGTGCTTGTTTGCTTGTTTGTGCGTGTTGGTTTGTGTTTGTGTGTTTCTTTTTGTTTTTTCCTTTGTCTGTGTCTGTCTGTCTGCCTGCCTGCCTGCCTGCCTGCCTGCCTGCCTGCCTGCCTACCTGCCAGCCTCCGGTCCGTCTGCTGGTTGGTTGGCTTGGGTTTGTTTGGTTTGGCTTGGCTTGGCTTGGCTTGGCTTGGCTTGGCTTGGTTTAGTTGCTTGTTTGGTTGTTTGTTTGGTTGGCTGGTTGGTTGGTTGGTCAGGTTCCCTGCGCTCTCTCAAAGGCCGACAGGTTGGTTTGGTGTGTTTTGTTTGGTGTGGTTGTTTGGTTGCTTGGCAACTCGAAATGACCGCAGCAACCCCCGACCCAACCCAATTCCCCAAACCCAGAAATCCAGCTGCGGGGCAGCACCAAATCCGCAGAAACGGGGTCGCCTGGTCGTCCAAAAGCAGCACAACGCCTTGGCAGCGCTGCATGGCCCGGTAGAATGAGCTCCTGGCACTCACATGAGGGGTGGAATTGGGGGAACGGAAGGCCCTCCCACTCGAAATCACAAGGAAAGCATGATCGCGGCATGGCGCAGCACATTTACTGCAGCCCCCGCCTTTCAAAACACAAAACCATGCAAGCGTGAGATGACCTGCCCAGCAAGTCAATGACCGCATGCATTGATAGATACTCTTGGGTGCCAGAAAGGGCCCCAAGGAAAGGCAAGAGACCCACCCACTTGTCAGCTGGAAAAGGTGGCCTTCGCAAGTCTTGGCATTGAAGGATACCGAGACCGGCATAAGCACCGTCCCGCGCCCGTCTTTGCCCAAGCCTTCCAAAAGTGCACCGCGGGTGCCGAACCAAGCGCAATCCAAAAATGCTCCGATTCGGTGGCCTTCGAAAAGCTGTCCGATCCTCCGCGGGTTGACGCCTAGGTCGGCTTCAAGATGGTGCTGGTTGTTGGCGTACGCGCAAACCTCAAGTCAGGCTGCCTTTCTTGCTTCCCATGTCCCCAGCTCGCCCATTGGCTGGTTGACATCACTAAACTCAAAGATCCGCCACGGCACCCAGAATGGCGTGCTCGGCTCCAGTTGCCGCACGTGCGCGTGGCAGGAAAGGTTTGACACCTCAGTCATGCTACCAGCTACCGCCACCCAATGCCTGGCCGTTTGAAGGGGTGGGAAAAGACTGCAAAAGCCTCAACCTCGCCTCCAAATGTCTCACACATTGGTACAAAAAGGCGGCTCATGGAATCTTGAAGGTCCTCAGTGCATCTTGGAGCCAGGGCCAGCAGCGTCAAATTGATCATGTCAACCGGGTTTCAAGTTGCGCTTGCATTCAAACAGCGTTCCGCGGAAGGAACGGTGAACCCAACGGTGACAAGGAGGAAAACCTCCAAAGGACACTTCCTCCAGGCCGCGAAGAGGCAAATGGGCTCCAGCCAGGCGTGCGACACGAACCAGCTGGGTCGCTGCGACTCTGGGTCCTGAGGCTGTCAAAAGGGCATGAGCCGTCAAGCACATACATTGACGCCAGTTCAGGTCTGGAGAACACACCGATCCTTTCTAAGAGCGGCAGTCACGGCACCTCTTGGGCCTGGCTATGACCACGCTCCTGCGCGATGCGCTCCACAAAGCTGCAGCCAAACTCCCCGCAGCCTGTGCCAAACAAAGCAGACCCCGTGGCACCATGCGCCTATGCCCCGAAGGCAGAAAAGGCGAAATGAGAAATGCACAAGGCCAAACTGCCATGGGCGGCTGGCAGGAGCGGCTCCCGCCTTGTGTTGCAGGGCTGATGATCCAGTAGCTGGCATGGTACAGGTTGAACTGCCTGAGCTTCAGCCAGGAACAACTCACATACCTGTCTCAGTGATCATGTTCGTGAGCCAGATGGTCGAGTCTGTACTGTTGGCAGGTTGCAAGGTTGCTTTTGGGGAAAGTCAGCTTTACCGCCAAAGCCTTGATTCAAGCAGGAATGGAATCACTACCTTCTGAGGCTCACTATCTAAGAATGCTCAAGCTGCGAAAGCCGGTCCAAGCGATCAAGCTGTTTGAAAATTCAAAGCGTCTGTCGCCCCAGTGCCCAGTGCAATCCCAGCAACTCCTCAGGCAGCCGGCGGCCATAGTCAGGGCTTGCGGGAAAAGCCTCGTGCCAAACATCAGCCTCAGGCAGGCCATTCCGTCATTTCAGGGCACATGCTGTGCTCCCAATGCAAGTGGCAACCGGCTTCTAGGACTGCAAAGCCTCATCAGCATCATCAGCATCCTCAGCATCATCAGCATCATCAGCATCACCCACACCATTTGGACCAGCTTCGCCGCATCACATTGGAGCTGGTTGAGGATCGGAGCTTTCTATGCCACTGCATCCAAGAAACTCCAGAAGCCGAATTGAGAAAGGCTTCATTTATGCAACCCTCTGAAACCCTATCCTATAACCCCCGCACCCTTCAGAACCCTATCCAGAAGCTGGTCCATGGCACCATGGAGCCTTCCGGAACCCTCTAGTAAGCCCTCCAGAATCCAGCTGGACCAAAGCTCATCTCTCTCTCTCTCTCTCTCTCGAACGCAGCACGTGCAACGTGCCTAGCGGTGGACTGCGTAGCACACAAAGCTCATCTTGACAAAGACCCCAATAGCTCCCAGCCGTCGCGGGACAAACCACAAAACAACAACACCTCCATCCAAACCCCCTTCCACAAAAACCGCAGCTGCCTTGTGCCCAACGAAGCGCAGAACTCGGTGCAGCTGGAGGAGGCTAATTCCTGCGGCCGCGCGGCTTCCTCCCCCTTTTGGGGCATCAAAGGCATTTGCACAAAAGTTGCTGCCCAATCTACGAAAAAAACATCTGTACATGCAGCCAGGCGCAGCTTCCTGAAACAACTGTGCCACAAAGTAAGCCTGGAAAAGTCATCATTACCTCGCTCTCTTTATCTCAAAAGGTCATCACTTCAGCATGTCCTCTGTCCTGCAGCTTGGCAGGCTCTTGCAAATATCGAATCAACTAGCCCCGCACAGACTAGCTTGCCGGCTAGGCAGCCTCTTGCACAAAAGAGCCCTCAAACACCTTGAAAAACAATCCCAGTGCCCCCACCATGTTCAATGCCAGCATGTTTCTCGTTTACAAACGCGAGGCTGCACGCAAATGCCGCAGCAATTGTTTGGTCCGAAGATAGACACCTTTGCTGCTACTGGCTGGTTTTCTCTGACAACAATCTTGGCCACCAAGATCAGGGTCCGACGCCCAGCGCACCACACATATCTATATATATATATATATATATGCACATGTGTATATATATATATATATGTGTATTTATTAATATTTCTATTTGAATGCCACCTGAAGGCTGAGCATTGCAAACTGCCGACTCCTCGCAGCGCAGTGTCTGGGATCCAGCAAGGCTCCGGGTGCGGCACGAGGTCCTCGAAGTCCAAGCAGCAGAAACTCGGAGCCGGGCTGAAAGCCAACGGGCCATGCACTGGGAAGACGCATGCGCAATGGCCCCAGAATTACTTTTAGAGTCGCCCGGCAATGCCAGAGACCGGGCCAGCCCAGAAATCCGTTGCCCTCGCAGAAAGCGAAGCAACCCCAGAGCCTCCGAGAAAAAAAAGAAAAAAACACCTAGGCCGCGCGGCGTGGCATCAGAGGAGGCCCTGCCCGTGGCCATGGTGAACTCCTCTACCACACCGTGGATGTCCTGTATGGGCGTTCAGTCATGAAAAGATGTGGCAGGCTCCTGCAACGGTAAAAAGAAAGCCAGAAACCTGAAACTCTGGAAACAACTTTCTTCAATCTTCAACCTGCATGTTTCAGCCAAAACGCTTCATGGTGGTCCAATTCATGCGTTGCAAATGCATAAGCATGCAATGTGGCAGGTCCGGCAGGCACGTGGCTCCAATTTGCTCATACCAACAAGGTCCGGGCGGTGGGGGATTTAAGGGGAGAGCTATCATACAAAAACATGTGCATGGATATGGGCATGGAAATATGTTGTTTTGCCCCAAAAGCTGAAAGCGCTGCAGATTCCGGGGCGGCTCTGAGGCAAGGTTCTGCAGCGTTCTGTTTCACAGGGTTCCTTCTGCGAGGGTTCCGCGACTCAGTGCACTTTTGCTTCATTGCTCTTCGCCTAGTCCCTCTGTCCCATGAGCAGTTGTGCTCCAAGTCTGCCACCCCGCTGCTTCAAACATTTCTGCAACGTGGCAGTTCTTACATGGACAAATATGATAGACCTGCTTTACACGTGCCAAGCATATCACCCTAATCTATATACCAATATATATATATATATATAAATAAAAAGGGTGTGTGCATTTATAGAGAGAGAGAGAGAGAGAGAGATCTTCTTGTTTGTCACGTTTATCATGTATCTATACTTCATGTGCCTGAAGCCCTGGTCACTATGTGCTTTGGCTTTGCGCAAAGAAGGCGCCTCGCTGCCCTGCAGCAGCAGGGGGCCCAGCGTAATGCGCCGCTCTCCTGCAGAAGCGGAGGCCGTTTGGATGCCCTATTCAAGGGCGATCATTTGAAAGAAGAACCGAAGCCACCCATGGCCATGTGGTGTCCTTTCGGGGGATCTTTGGCACCTGGTATCCAAAGGTGATCTTTGAGTATCTTTGTCAACTTTTGGTGCTCTTTGGAATTCCCTGTTTAGTTTTCGACCCAAGAAAGGCACCCTCAACAAGCAGATGCATTTCCTAGGATCACGCTCATAGTTTCCAACCCCGAAGATGGCCTTGGGGAGTTCAAAGGGCAACCACCCGGTTGAAGGGGGTCCCTCCTTCGGACACTATGCCTTCAATTGCCCCCCCGCGTTGAAAGCAGTTGCGCACAAACCCCAAAGCGAAGTAGGCTTGTTGAAAAACCATCCTGTCTGTGATGCCCAGAACTACTTTGTGAAAAGGGAGGTGCCCCTGGTATCACACAAAGTGGCAGAAGTGTTGTAGAACTGTCAGGCCCACAACCGAAACGCCCTCTGTTCCCCCTTTTTTGCCCGGCATGTTTGATGATGTGCCCACAAGAAAACGTACACCCTGAACTCCAGGAGACTTTGGCAAGACAACAAAGCAGCAAACGTGGGCATTGCTCAAATGGTCTTCATGGCCGGGGTGTGGGAGTTAAGCGAGCTTTCGAGCGTGAATGTCGCTCATTTTCAAACGAGCAGCTTTCTCTCAAGGAACCCACCTCCCTCGTTTTTGTACCCCCTTTGCGACGGTCTGATTGTCCTTCCACCATGTTCAGAACATAACAAGAGCAATAGCAACTGAGAGCACAGTCGCAGAGTGATGATCAAGTTAGGCGTGCAACCCTCTCCTGCGGCTTCTCCCAAGACCTCCCATACCCGCGCCAAAGAGTCTCCGGGCCGAGCGTGTAGGCTCAAGCGCCCCTCTTTGGTATCGATCGACACCCGCAAGGCCGAGTCATCCGCATCCATGGCAAGGCTTTGGCACCCTGAACGCCCCAGCTGCGAAGCCCCAAATGCTTCTAAAGCTTCTTTGAGGGGGTGCTTGCAACAGCTCTGCGTCCAGAAAACGATGCCTTCTTCGCGGAAGTTGCCTAAAGCGTGTCTTGGATAACCAACAAACCATGGGAAGCCTTGGGCCAAATGGCTTGCAAGCCGCACGTCTGACTCGCAACTGATCGCATTTGCAAGTAGAAACGTTTGATTCACGCAACTTGGACTTTCCAACGTCCTTGCTACAATCTGCCTGCAACATACACGGCGTCAGGCTCCACTCCCTTGACTTTGATGTGAGCCTTTTCTCACACATGTCATTGCACCATCTGGGAGGCCCCCTCGAAGACAACGCAAGATACCCCCACCATTTACGAATGCAAAATCTGTCCAAATAGGAGAACCCAACAGTTGGTCCCAACAGGTCCCAAACAAAGGCAATTGACACGTCGAGTTTGCTTAACCCATGTGCCACTTGGGCACCGGCACTGGCAGCTCCCCACGGCCTGCGAGGAATTATTGATTTTTTAGACACGACCATGGAAACATTGGGAAAAAATGCTGGCCAAAAAGTTGGCTCGAATCTGCCAAGTCCAGCGTGCGACCACGAAATGCGCAGCTGGAAGACGACTTTCGGTTGAGTGATGGGGTTTGTTTGTGACTAGTGCGGGGGTTGCGGATGGGGCTTTGGGGAATCTCCCTGAAAATCGCACTGCGCAAGCCCCCCGATTTTGGCGCGCCTTCTGATGCTCTTCTTGGGGCTGTTCGCACAAATCTCTGTGCATCTAAACCTGCGCTACCCACCTAAAACAACATTCAAAGACCAACACTTGAAAACGTCACCCCACCTCAAACCTACCTGTCGGGCTACCAGTCTTTGCATACTTGTGTGAGCCAAGAAATGCAATCTGCGCCACGAGCATCAAACGTCTTTTCCCCGCCTTTCATTTTCTCACATGCACAATGACATCCCAGGAAGTAGTAGTAGTAGTCGCAGTAGTACTAATAGCAGCAGCAGCAGTAGTAGTAGCATTAGTAATAGTAGTAGCAGCAGTAGTCGTAGCAGTAGTAGTAGCAGTAGTAGTAGTAGTAGCAGTAGTAGTACTAGTAGCAGCAGCAGCAGTAGTAGTAGTAGTAGCATTAGTAATAGTAGTAGCAGCAGTAGTCGTAGCAGTAGTAGTAGCAGTAGTAGTAGTAGTAGTAGCAGTAGTAGTACTAATAGCAGCAGCAGCAGTAGTAGTAGCATTAGTAATAGTAGTAGCAGCAGTAGTCGTAGCCGTAGTAGTAGTAGTAGTAGTAGTAGTAGTAGTAGTAGTAGTACTAGTACTAGTACTAGTAGTAGTTCTAGTAGTAGTTTAGTAGTAGTAGTAGTAGTAGTAGTAGAAGTAGTAGTAGTACTAGTAGTAGTTCCAGTAGTAGTTTAGTAGTAGTAGTAGTAGTAGTAGAAGTAGTAGTAGTACTGCCAGGAGGCGAGGTGACAAGGCAGTTGAGGTTCGAATCCCGTGGGGTGACCACTACCCTCGGTTGTAAAGCCGTGTAGTAGGGTCGGTGTAACTAGGGGTGTAAGGATAATATGGTCTGCGTTGTCTCACAACCGCCTGCAACAGCGGAGCACAGCCCTCTTGCTTCTTTACAGCGTTCCGTTGGATACTAGTCTTGAGCCACTCGTCAAGAACTTGAGCCTTGAGCCAAAGCATCCACGTGCATGCGTCGGCTGTTCACACAACAACATCCCCTCAAAGGTTTGAGGGACCTTAAAGGGGAAGAGAACAGGGTGACCCCCAGAACCTGCCCTTGGGATTCTGGCCTGTGGCCCGGAGATTCTTAGCATCCCCCATCTTGGGCTCGGGTTCATCCCGGGGTCAGGAACCACCCACAACCACATGCTGACATGCATGGACGCGCAGCTTTTCCTATCCAATTCTGCGAAACGTCTCTGCACGAGTTTGACCAGGTTCTGTATACTTAACAAGAAACGCGAATGCTACAGGTCACATACCAGACCTCGCGTGCATTGAAGCACACGTAGCAAACGATCAATCAGGTAATAGTACAGATCCAGGTAAGTCTGCAGAAAACGAACATCCATGACTAGCATAGCCCACCACCAATTTGATTTGTAGCATCGAACACTCATTGACCGCCAAGTACCTGGCATCTCCAGAATAACAGTCGCCGATGACGGTACTGTACGGAAATGAAAATGTTCCGTGGTGACAAATGCAAGTCTCATGCAAATACGTTAGGTTTGATCATGGTACCATGCACGATGAATACCACGATTCCATTGTGAAAATGCAATCTCCTGTTACTCCCCCACGTAGTAGAGATGGTATTGGAAATGCTTGATCACCAGTGCGACGACGTCGCGATCGCCTTTCTACTCGCCCTCCATCGGAACCTTTCTAGCAGAGATTTTGGCGTCTCCTCGGTCCGATTGATCTTCTCGATGTAGCGCGAGGGCAGATGTATATTGCGATGGTAGCACCATTGAATAAGAGGATTGTCAACCTCTTTGGCGCCTTGTAAAATCATGGCAGCAAGATGAATCTTCAAGAACTTGCGTCCAATGAGCACATCTGTTCTGTAGAAGGTCATGTAGTCACAATTGAAAGCAAGGGCAGTGCATCGGAAGATCGTATCACTTACGAAGGCGGTATCCTTCTGGCGATTGCGAGAGCACCAGAACCAGCAGCGCCAGCACCAGAACCAGCAGCGCCAGCACAAGCAGCAGCAGTGCGACCAGCACCAGCACCAGTGCCAGCACCAGCACCATTGATACCAAGCATATTGCATGCGGTCCAAATCCGATACATCAAATGTAGCCCCTTCAGCTTCAAGGACCAATAGAACGTCTCCTCATCTCTGTGATTTGCAAATGTGGGACCAGCGACGACCTCGTCGTAGGTGGGCGGAACAGGAATGTTCTCTTTGTCAACTTCAGTGAATATCCAATCATCCCTCCCATTGATTGCAATGTAGGGACAAACCAATCCGCCACCTTTGCCTGCATCCTTGACTGAGTCTGCCTCGTTATTACCAAATACCTTCCACACTTTGAAAAGTATGATGTCAATGAAGCCGGATACGATGCCTCGTTGGGCTCGTCGACGCAAATTGCCTTGACTTGCAGGAGATGGATTGCGCATCTCGTTGGTGTCGGGTCGGTCTTCCTCGGCGACGATTCGCTCAGCATCCTTCTTTTTTGCTTCGCGCTGAGCTTGCTTCGCCTCCTCCGTCACCCTGGTGGTGTCGGCTGCTTTGGGCTCGTCCTCGTCCACATGGATAACAAACTTGCCGGTGGAAATGAGCTCGCAGTTGCATGCCGCGCAATAGCAAAATCCTCTCGGGATGATGGTAGCGCATGCAGGGCATACTCTGTTGGAAATGTTGGACGGGTCATCCTCGCGGTAGACAACGAACCTGCTGAGCAAGTCTCTGATCTCGACCAACGAGTCGTTCAACATCTCGGGCACGTTGACGTTGATGCGTGCCATGACAACCATCTTCTTCAGGATGTCAGCGTCTGCGGAGTCCTCTCATTCAAGAAGTTGTTGATTTTTTCAAGAAAGTCCGCTGGGGTCACGCCCAGAGGCGTCCTTGAATCCTGGACAGATCTCGCTCTTGACGATGCGGAATTAGATCCTTTTGGCCTCTTTGACCGGTCCTTTCCTCACAGACTTGAAACTCCAGATCGCCCTGATCTCTTTGAAGGGAATGGTTTCAAAAGCGACAATCGTCCCACCCTATGTGACACCCGACTGGTACACGGACAACTTTCTTGCTGTAGATGGCGATGAGGTCATCTCCCTGTTTGACGTCGTGCAACGCAGTCTTGGTCGAGATGTTCTTGCTGTCCCAAGGTGCGAACACTCCGAAGTGTACCGCCAATCTTCGCGCACTGTCGTTGCCACCAGGTACAACGCCCCGCAAAATGATGCCTTCCAGGGCTGATGGCTTTGTCACGTGGAATGCTCCGCCCAAGCGATCGGACATGTTCGGGAACAATATGTTGCTAAGCTCAGCAGGACGAGCGAATCCGAAATCCGCATGTCCTGACGATGCTCGATGCACCATGGTTGCCACCATCCGTTGTGCTCGGGACGAATCCAGTCGATGCTCTCTTTGGTCCATCCTGCCGCTATGAGACCCGTTATCGATCCAATGTCGATTTCTTGGTCGAATCTCGCAGCAAGGATTCGCAGCCTCGGCTTCCGTGCTTTCCGATCTTCTGACCTGACGCACCCGGCGATGATTTGCAATCTGTCGCCCTTTCTGCACCGGTACTGCGGGAACACGTCCTCGCGGTCCGGGATGTAATCGATGTTCACCCATCCTCCACCATTGCAAGGAATAGAGTTGCCTCTCTTTGCGCCAATTTGATGGCGTAGGATCTTCACCAGCGCTTTCGATGTCTGGAACAAGTCGACGTGGCTGATATTTGACCCAAATGCCGTGTAATCGTTGTACGGCCAATAGGGAAAACTTGTGTCTCGGTTCTGCATGTTCATGACTTCCAAGTATATCCCCTTTCTCCTTCGCGAACTTCTTGCCGAACAGCTTCACGATCAGGTGAGATACAAAAGCATCCATGTCCCCGTCGAATTTGCTTTCAAGCTCGTTCAGTCACCGAGCACCAGGCTGCATTCAGCAAAGAATCTCTTCATGATGTTAGGTCGCTCAGCTCCCTTGCGCGTGGTATTATGCTCGATCAGCCCGTTGGCATGGCAATTGATGCATGTGTTCGCATTGTACAAACTGGCGGTTGTGGATTGAGCTCCCTCCGCTTGACACTGCGTGCAAAGCACGTCTGCAACGTCCTCGAAGTGATACCACTTTGACCGCATGTCATCGTTGCCCTCCTTGCCAATCGCCTTTCCTTCTCTCCGCTGCTCGTCATGATACATCTTCTGCTTGTTGAAGTGAGCAGCGAAATCCGGCATGTAGTGATAGCGAACGTTACCACCAGTTGCACCCTGAGGTACATTGAACTGCAGTGGGGACACGCCCTCACATGCATATTCCAGGTC